CATGAAGACATCGCCCTGGATGCTGCTGAGACCAGTTCTACCCAAAAATCCCAGTCCTCAGTACCATGAAGACATGACCTCAAACCACCACCTCTTTGTGACATAATTTAGTCCTGGTCACAGTGTATATGTATATTATTTATATATTGTTGGGTCTCTTATATGGATGCCTTCATATGTTCCCATATTACCTTACACTGTAATTTTGTAAAATTTTCTGTAATGTCTTTTCTAATGGAATCTATATTTATTCACTAATATATGTATTTATTTTCTATTGAACTTTTATCTATTTTTGTACTTGAACATAAGACTTAAAAAAGATTATATTTATAACCTGTCAAGAGCAAGCAATGTATTTTCACATAATAAACAAGTCTTTTACATTCCAGAAGAATGGCTACAGATGTTAGTGTTTGATTGAAGGCATACTTACTGCTGAAGCCCAATGAGACAGTGAGCCAATGGCTATTTGATATGAATTTTGGAAGAAGATATAGACATAAAACTATTTTTGGAAGAAGACATCAGATAGGAAATTATAGGCTTCTTATAATTATTGAATATTCCAACCCAACGTCCCAGACTCATATGTGTATGAGTCCAACTATGAACTCTTTGGCCCCGATGCATTTCTACAGATAAAGTTTTCTTTGTATAATATCTGCCTAGAGTTTGAAAATACTCCCAGAGAGGAGCACTGCTGAGGTTAAGCTTGGATCTCAACATCATGCAGGATCATCTGGCTCCCTGGGAAGGAAGATGTGTGAGAATCTGGGCTTCTTTCTGCAGTGATCCATCCCCAGTTCCATGTCTTAATTCACTGCCGTCTCCAATCCTGTGAGACCTCAGGAACAACAGGCAGGTGAGGGCCTGCAGCCCCTGCTCTCAACTCAAGTGTCTTCTCGACACGTTCTGTTTTCTTCCTTTCCCTCGGCTCCTTGCACTCTTACATCAGGCTCCGTGATTATGGCACCAACTGAAGTGGGCACAGGCTCTGTAATAAGGGCTTGGAACGTGAGGGTGAGCACTGCCCCGCAGCCTTCCCCAGGGAAGAACATGCACCATCTCTTGAGGCTCTCCCTGGTAGATTTTTTCCAGCCATGCAATCTGGTTTGCTGCTGGATCAAATCTTTGTGTCTTTGTTTAATCAAAATGTTTTCTTTCCAGGTGCTCTTCAGATTGAGTTGTCCCTGACTCCCAGGAGCCAGCTTCTGACCTCACCTGGTCCCTTTTTTCTTTTCCCTCATTCAGAATGGTGATGCCTAGCTTTGTAATGTTCAATTTCCCAAGCTACCTTGGCTCCATGTATTCTGGCATTGCCTCTTTTTATTGCCTCAAATTTCTGCTTTGATAGACTTTTAAGAATTAAATTTTTTCCTCAGTATACAATAGCTACCCAAAGAGAAAAATTGGAAAAATAAAATAAATATGAGGAAAATTAAAATTGTTATTTTTCACAACCATAGAAAACAATCTTTAAATATTCATTCTCTCTATTTCCCCCTCTTCCTCTCATTCTTGGTTGAGTTTAAATCATGACTGAATTCTCAGTACTTCTGCACGAAGCGTCTATCTTCTTCAGCAGGTTCTTAGTAAGCACATGTCTTACCTGGTACAAATGAGGAATTCAGAAATAGATAATCAAACCAAATTAGGGCTTGAGGGAGGCTCCAGGGAGGGAGCTCCTGCAGATGTAGAGGAATGAGGGGCCCACAGTGGTTGCCTATGGTTGCAGCAGAGTAGTCAGCGCTCACCCGTTATTCTTGGTCCTATGTTCTGCAGTTTCAGTTCAGAACAACTATGGTCAGAAAATACTAAATTGGAAATTCAAAAAACAAATGACCTGTAACTTTTTTTTAATAATGTGTTGTTATTGTTGCTAATCTTTTGTACTGCCCAATTTATGCATTAAGCTTTATCATAATTGTATGCATGCATGTATGTATAGAGGAAAATGTAATATAGCCAGTCTTCTCTACCTGAGGATTCTGTACATGCAGATTCAACTAGTTGTGAATAAAAAAAAGTTTGAAAAAAAACATGTTTGTATTGAACTTACATAGAATTTTTTCATCTCCATTCCCATATTACAGTCTCTCAGCTATGCACACGACTTTTATATTATATTAAATATTATAAGTAATCTAAATATGGCTAAGGTACACAGAAGGATGTGTAGATTGTGTGTGAATACTGTGTTACTTTATATATGGGAGTTGGACTTCCACAGAGTTGAATATCCTTGGGGAGAGAAAGCAGGCTGGAAAACAGTCTCCCGTGAAAATTGAGGAACTGTATAAAAGGGTCATAATAGTTGTAGCTTCAGTTATCCAATGGAGGGCTTATAATATATTCCCCCAAGAATAGTGGGAGGGGGCTACTATAACTAAAATGATTGCTGTCATTAAGTACTCATCATGCGTGAGAGGCACTGTATTGGGAACTTCACATATGTTGTGTTACTTAGGCCTTAGAAGCCTCTCACTGGCTTCACCTGGTAGGTTTATTTTTTGTTTGAACTATTTGTACATTGCTTTCTTAAAATGAAAGTGGTAGTATAGACAAGTCTGGATTTGTTTCCAGACACTGGATTTTACCATGTCTCAGGGCATCAGAACTGTCTGCTGGCATCATGGCCTTCTGTTGCTCAAAGGAATATATTTGTCTGGCTCAGTCCCTGAAGTGAGTGTATATGATCAGAAAGGCCAAACAGATTGCCCATGCTCTGGATGTGGAGAAACCTGGATTAGTTTTCTCTCAGGTAAGAGGGGGGTTTCCTTTCAGAAGGCATGGCATCTCAAAAGGAGGAATGAGGGCCAGCGATTGGTGATTCAAACAATAGAAATAACCTGCCCTCGTTTCCACCATGACTTTGGGGTGGCCCATATTCTCTATTTTTAAAGAGTCAGGCCTGTTCAGGGTAATTTGCTCTCACTTGTGGGTGTCCTTCTCCATGTAGAAAGACAAGACTTTGGTCTCTTGCTGGGACCTTCAGTTCCTAGAGGATCAGACTGTGTGTTTTTCCTTGGGTGTTGAATCTTCCCCACTCCATCTACCTTAATACACCACAATATTATACTGTCAACAACTGCTCAGTCCAAAAATAAGAGGGGACAGTGTTTGCATAGAATATTAAGATGTAAAAAACCAACCCAAATTCAAATGCTTTTTTTTGTTGTTGTTTGTTTGTTGAATAGTTTGACCTTTGCTAGAAAACCTTCTTTGCTCTGCAGACAGGGCAGGCAGCACAGCAAGCAGCAAAGCACAATGAATACAACCACTCCCTGATTCACTGGAAGGCCAGGAGAGCAGAGGTGAAACTCACCTCAACCCTCATGATAGCAGTGAGTCAACACTTAACGGGAAGAGGAAGAGGCAGAGCTCGGAGGCCTGGAGGCCATGAGTCAGGAGAGCCTGAACACCACTCAGAGTGTGTTCTCTGTCTTGCTCAATGTTGGATCTGATCACAGAGAACCTGCAGCTCAATTCAGATAGTGCTTGGGTTGCAGAGGGGGAATGTGGCTTGTCAAAGGTTGCACAGTAAAGTTATGGCAGAGTTGGAACTAACATTAAGGTCCTTGTGCTTCCAATAAATTTAACCTCAGTTCTATTCAATAACAAATTGAAGTCATTTATAAAAACAAAGATTCTCTGCATTTGTAGAGGACATTCTTATCTAGAATGAAATAGCCAATGAAAGCCATCAAAAGCTGCTAGCATAAGAATTCTTGGTAAGATGGCAGCATATAAAATCCATGTACAAAACCCAACTATATTTTCACATTTCAGCCACATACTAATGGATCTTGAAATTTAAAATAAGAAGGAGAAGAAAATGAAAGAAGAGGAGGAGGAGGAGGAGGAGGAGGAGGAGGAGGAGGAGAAGAAGAAGAAGAAGAAGAAGAAGAAGAAGAAGACAATTACTAATCACAATCACAATAATACCAAAACTTTAAATAGCTGAGGATAAGTTAGAGATTTAAAAGAGCAGGATTAGAGCCATGGCTCAGTTGTTAAGAAATTATTCTCTTCTTGCAGAGGATCAGGTTTGACTCCCAGAATCTGAGTTGGGCAGGTGTAACTCAGATGTAACTAACCTGTAACTCTAGCACCAGGGCATCTGATACCCTCTTCTGACTTCTTTGGGCACTGTACAAATTCACACACACACACACACACACACACACACACACACACACACTAAAATTAAAATAATGAGCTAGAGAAAGCTCAGTGGTTTAGAGCACTTACTATTCTTGTAGAGGACCTGGGATCAGTTCTCAGCACCCATGTGGTGGCTCACAACCATGTATAATCCCAATTCCAAGGGATTTGCTTCCTTCTTCTGGTTTTCAAGGGCTCCTGCACACATGTGGTACACATAAACAACCAAGCACATATGCACATAAAATAAAAATAAATAAATAATTGAAAATCTTTTAAGTTTGAAGGCTCAATTTTTTTCATCTTTCTGTGTGTGGTATATGTACATGTTTGCATGTGTGTGGGCTCACATATGTGGGGGTGCATGTGTGTGAAGACCCCAGGCTGATTTTGGGAATCTTCCTCACTTGCTCTTCCACCTCATTCCTTGAGGCAGGATCTCTCAGTCAAACCCAGAAGTTGCTGGTATGGTGGCTTATCTCATTGGCCAGCTTACTCTGGGAATCCTCCATGTCCTCCTTCCTGGGCTGTAATTACAGATGGGAAGCCACAGGACACCAGGCATTGTGTGAGTTCTGGGTATCTGCACTCCAGTCCACAAGCTTTCACAGCAAATGCTTCAGCTGCTGAGCCCTCTTTTGGGCCCAAAAAGTTGTACTGAAATCTGAAAACAATTGTGGGGAAGAAATGAAAGTGCCAAGTGATAGAGAACTATGTCATATTCATGAACAAAAAAAAAAAAAACCCAGTGTCATTAAGATG